TGCCTCCCGAGTGCTGGGATTAAAGGCATGTGCCACCATGCCTGGCTCTTTTTTTTTTAAATATTTTTATTTTATGTGTATGAGTGTATTGCCTCCATGTATGTGAGTGCACCCGTGTCGTGCAATGCCTCAGAGGTCAGAAGAGGGCTTCGGATCCCCTGGAACTGGAGTTAAGGACCATTCACAGCTGCCATGTGGGTACTGGGAATCAAACCCGGGTCCTCTGCAAAGGCAGGCAGGGCCCCTAACCCCCGGGCCATCCCCCCAGCCCCCCCCCCCCCCACATACATGTATTCTTACAGGGTAGCAACCTTGGTCAGTGCTTGCCCAGCCCTCTTTTAACTTGGTTCTGAGCCTTCCCACACCATGCTACACATTGTATTCCCTGGTCACCAGCCCCTGCCTGGGGCCTATCCTCTACTGATCCAGTTACAGTTCCTAGTCATTCCCTTTTGTCCAGCCCTTAGGGACAATAGGCTGCCCCCACTGCCTGCTGAAGCCTGTTTGGGAGGGGCCTCACCCAGCATCATGGCATCGAGTTCACTGCTGCAGGGGTTTGGCATGGGACTGGGTTCTATGGTCACCAGTGGCACAGTAGGCACCTGCATTTCCTCTTCCTCCTCCTCCGTGGTGTCTGGGCTCTTCTTGCCTGCAAGGTGAAGCAATGCTGCCTAGAGAAAAAAGTCAGAGCACTGGCCTCTCCACCTATCTACTGAGAGTTCTGCTCAGTGGTCCCATAGAGAGAGAAAAGGGAATCCTAAGGAGTTGATGGTAGGCAGTAGCATATCCATATCAGCAGGAGACACAGTAGTTTTGAGAGGCACCAGAGAGAAGGAGGTCCGCTGGGATGTACATTCTGAATCTCCAAGAATAGGTATGAGGAGAGAGAGGCCTGAAGGAAGGTTAGCATGAAAGAGTCAGAAATAGAAAGTTTTTGAAGATGAATAACTTCAAGAACTGGGAAGAGCTTGAAAAGAAAGAAACCAAGCAGTTTCACTCCATGGAGGCTAGTCCTGTCTCTTCAAGCCTAAAAGAGATGGCAGTCAGATTGACTTTCAGGCTCACGAGGGGAAGAGACTGACCATAGAGAGACTGGATCCCTGCCACATCATCTGGGTGCAGCTTGAAGTAGGGCCGGTAGCCAGCGTAGACAGGAGCCATGAGTGCCTGGGTATAGCGGGAGTGTCCAAGTCCCAGGGCATGGCCCACTTCATGGGCAGCTATGATGCGCAGGTTCACCCCCCAGTAGGTCCCTTCAGTCCAGAGTTCATCTTCATCAAAGTGTATACTGCCCAGCTCTGGGATGTCAGCATGGGCCAGGACTCTTCCTAGACAAAGGCAAAGGTGAGCAGGAAGGTCAGAGCCCACACTGCTGGAGTATACTGGATCTGCTATAAATTCAAGTTACTGCCAAGCACTTGGAAGGGGGAGGCAAGAGAATCAGGAGTTCAAGATTAGTCTCCAATTCATAATGAGTTTGAGGTCAGCCTGGGCTACATAAGATGCTGTCTAAAAAAAGACCAGGCTAGGCATGATGGCACAGGCCCTTAATCCCAGTGCTCAGAAGGCAAAGGCAGGCAGATCTCTCTAAGATCGAGGCCAGCCTGGTCTACATAGCAAGTTCCGGCCACGCTGGGGTTACAGGGAAGACCCTGTCTCAAAAAAACACACACAAAAAAAATAAAAATATATATTAAAAAATTGAAATTACTTCATCCCCTTAAAACTTCCCCAGATAAGTGCCAGGTGTGGTGGTGCAACCTTTAATCCCAGCACTTGGGAGACCGAAGCAGGCAGATCTCTGTGAGATCCAGGCCAGTTGGGACTATAGGAAGACACTGTCTCAAAAACAAACACAAGGGTCTGGAGAAATGGCTCAGTGGTTAAGAGCCCTGGCTGCTCTTGCAAAGGACCCAGGTTCAATTCCTGGCACCCATATGATGGCTAACAACCATCCTTAACTCCAGTTCCAGGTGATCCTATGCCCTCTTCTGGCCTCTGCAAGCATTGTGTGATACCTGTGCACTTACATACTTCCAGGCAAAACAGTTGTACACATAAAAATAAACTGGAGAGATGGCTCAGTGGTTAAGAGCACTGACTGCTCTTGCAGAGGACCCGGGTTTGATTTCCAGCACCCACATGGCAGCTACGAACCATCCTTAACTCCAGTTCCAGGGGAATCTGGAGCTCTCTTCTGACTTCCACGGCATTGCACACCATAGGTGCACTCACATACATACAGGCAATACAGTCATACACATAAAATAAAAATAATAAATAAAATATTAAAAATAAATGAATAAAAATAATAAATATTTTAAAAAATAAAACATGGGCTTTGGCGGCCATGGAAAGAGAGGCGGATGTCAGCCCTGCCATCTTGCACCTCCTGGAAGGTCAGAGGGGCCACACTGCTCCAGTACTTGAAGGCTTGAAGCAGGGCTGCCCGGGCTGTGTAAGGCGGGAGGGTGGAGGGCAGGTTCAAGATTAGGAAGGTCAGGTGCTTCTTTCTCCAGCGGCCTGGTATAGACATTACTTCCTGAATCCCAGGAATAGACATTACTTCCTGAATCTTCTTTTCTTTCTCTTTTTCTATTTCTTTCTTTCTTTCTTCTCTTTTGATGGTTTTTCTTTTCTTTCTGATTTTTTGAGATAGACTGTCAGATATCCCAGGCTGGCCTCTAACTCCTTGTGTAACTGAGGATGGCCTTAGACTCCTGACCTTCCTCCCTCCACCTCTAAGTGGGACTGCAGGTGTGTGCCACCATGCCTGACTGACAGGCTTCTTTCAGTGTCCCTGTCATCACTCAGTTATCTCATGGAGTCTATCACAAAATCTTCCCCTCCCTAGCCACTCTCTCCTCTGACCCAGCCCCTTCTCAGGTGAGGTCTGAGATTCAGGCATAAGAGTCAAAAAAGAGACTTAGTAAGGGCCCAGTTAAGTGATCAATTACTCCAGTAGGGGATATTAGGAGGTCAGAGTACAGGGGACAGTAGACAGAATTAGCATCCTGAACATTAAGGCTAGCTCAAGTAGAGACTGTTTGTCTCTGGGGTCTCTAAGTTGAGAGCTGGGAACTGGTGCCTACCAGGCCCATCAAAGGTGTTGGAACAATATGGGCTTTGGCGGCCATGGAAAGAGAGGCGGATGTCAGCCCTGCCATCTTGCACCTCCTGGAAGGTCAGAGGGGCCACACTGCTCCAGTACTTGAAGGCTTGAAGCAGGGCTGCCCGGGCTGTGTAAGGCGGGAGGGTGGAGGGCAGGTTCAAGATTTGGAAGGTCAGGTGCTTCTTTCTCCAGCGGCCTGGTTAACAGACCAGAAAACAGATTAGAAACATGGATCCTCTGCCAACCCAGAGAGCTGCCCTGGGTGTGGGTGCTCACAGCATTTCTTAGCAGGTAGTAATCAAATATTCACCACTAAGATGGTCCAGGCTGTCCCAATGCCACCCACACTCCAGAGGTGCACACCATCCTCTCCTGTCTCCCTTCCCCAGGTTCAGTCCTTACCCAGGAGCAGGTATTTAAGAGTCTTCTGGTTGAAGGGGTCCTCAAGACCACAGCGAGGCTGCCTCATGCGGGCCTTTGTGGCATCATCCATCCAACCTGAGATTGGCAGCTCAGATGCTTCCTGAAAAGCTCTAGAAACACGAAGGGTGATGGGTCCATGAGCGCAGGTGACTCAGGAAGGACTGGGAACTGAGGACAGATGTTTGGCTTCCAGCTGCCCAAGCAGTGACCATGAATGGCACAACATCTTGGAAGCAGAAGCGAACACTCCAAGCTCCAGGCCTCACAACGGGGCTTCCTCTTCTGGTTCGTAGAAATGCTAACACTCCAACTCCATCTCTTCATTTTCAGAATCTTTTGAGGAAGACTGCCCTCAGCCGTGGCCTTTCTCTCCTACCTTTCTAGCCTTCTGCTGCTGAGCTGCCACCTAACGGTCCGCCCCCTCTGCCTGCTGGGCAACCTCCCAGCCTGCTCTGGGGCAGCTTCTTCCACCAATGGCCTGTTATAGTGCCTGTGGGCGTTTCAAATGACATGATCATTTCTAAGAGCATAAAGAAAAACAATGCAAAAAAAAAAAAAAAAAACACCAAAATATGAGTAACTAAATGCTGAATTAAATGTCCACAAAAGGCAATGTTATACCAACTCAATCCATAATTTTATACCTTCAGTACCTTGTGTGAGCTATGAGTAAATATCAGTATTTTAAATATAAAGACAGGGAGTGGGGTGGAGCCTCTAAGGTAGTGCCCTGGATCTCTGCAGATCCATTGGTTATGCCTTGTTTTTTTTCAGTCAGGGTCTTACTCTGTAGCCTAGGCTGACCTCAAACTTACTGTGTAGCCCAGACTGGCCTTAAATTCACAACAGTCCTTCTGTCTCAGCCTCCTGAGTGGTGGAATTAAAGATATGACCCACCATGCCCAGCTGTTTGATTTTTTTTTTACCCCTTCTGGTTTGTTTTGTTTTGTTTTTAAGACAAGGAATGACTGGGTGAGCATGGGAGCTCATACCTGTAATCCCAACACTCAGAAGGCTGAGGCAAGAGGATCAGGAGCTCAAGGTCATCCTCACTGCATAGCAAGTTCAAGATTAGCCTGGGCTATGTGAGATGTTATTTT